AGAAGAAAAAGAGAACTTGAAGCCCGTAATACTTCACTGTGAGTCAGCAGACGTTAAAAGAAGAAATCTTACAGGTAAGCTATATCAATTATGAAATACTAACTGCATAGCTCATCAACTTCTTAGGTATTGTAGCAGATGGAAGTTACACAATACCCAGAACTTCCAAAATTATACATTACCTGCATTACCACGACAGAGTGAAGTGTATGTAAGTATTCAACGAAGCCAAAGAATCCATAAACATCGCATCATTGAGAAGTATGGTGAACGTTTTGCAACGGAAGTTGAGAAGAAAGTGGACAATTATTACTTAAGAATTCTTAATACCAACTTGTAAACTTGATTTTCTGCTTTTGCAGCAATGATTCTTCAATAAACTTTCATAATTTCAATTTTCATCTTATTCCTACTTTTATGGGAATGAATAGCAATGATGTTCATGTGTAACTGTTTGTAATAATTAAGATTGATTAAGAAACCCTACATCCACGTACAGTTTTGCAGATTAGGCACCCACATATCATATTCACCTTCGTGGGATTACGTTTATCATTAAAATCGTATCAGTACCTATGTACATTTTAAGTTCATGTGATTAATTCCGCTTATGAATCAAAATAAAACCAGGAGAAATGTTGATTAACAGTGGTATGCATTCATTACAACTAAATATGCAATAGGATTTAACAGTGATGTGGGAAACAGTTGACATACCTGAATATGAATAAATGAAATGACGTAGGTTATCAATAGTGACTATATATATATATATGCAGTGTAAGGTCAAAGGTCACTTGCTTTTACAGTCAATAACACATTAAGAATGGGTGATATAATAGTTGACTGCAGTTCACAGACAGATAAGTGGTGTGAAATTCTTATAGCTTGTAAATGATCCGTGGATTTAAGAACTGAAAACTTGAGTTACGTCATAATTGATTACAATTTGCAGAGGTCACGTAATTACAGAGGATTAAGTGACAGGGTGATGGAAAAAATGCGTAACTAAATTTTAAAAGTGAAATAAATTATTACATAATCCTTCTTATTACTTGTTCATTTCATGGATTATAAGGAGTTCATATTATTCTCTATCTATATTTGTTCTAGCGTCATATCGACTATTAATAAATACTGACACGGTTTATAACGTAAGACACTAAGTGTAGTTGCTATATTTATATTTCACTAATTCATTTGTTGAATAAAAATGATTTTAATATGGTCTTCCATAATCACAAATTCTATAAGTTGTAGACCGGCGTAAACATCATCACAAAGCTTTGACGACTTCATTTGATTCATACAATTCTGAAAAACAAACAAATCAGTCGTGAAATAAAGAATTAGACCTAGTTATCAATATCACATTTAATAAGCCAATCAAATAGCAGGTTACAGAATGTACTTATAAGTCTCTTATTTGCAGACAGCGCTAATCATTAGAGATTTCTATTTCCTTTAATAAAAATTAATAGGTAATCTTTACAACACACAAATCAGTGTTATTTAAAAATTGCTGAAATCAGGTTCGTCACAACATAGAAGCGTGGTCGGATTTATGAATAAAATGTAATTCAATAATGTGGCATAAAGGCGATATGAATACAAGGAACTTGTGATTCTGCTTCCATTGCTCATTCACTTTTCGTCACGTTGTCTGCATGAATTACTTTGGACGAGTCAGTCTGTAATGCAGTAGGAATTCATGAATTAACTCGTTAATAGTTGTTTTTTGATTTAAGTTTGTGTCTTAACAAGCAATGGAAATTTCTTCAGTGTCTAACCCTTGTAGTATTTCGTCTATATATCTGGTATTAGCAAGAGAAATTGGTAAGCACCATTTAGATATTACTCGACAATATGCATCATAACTTTGTTCACATTTTCTTCTGCGATTGTGCATTTCCTTTACAGAGAATTATTCGTCAACCCTCTAACAGACACATCATAAGTCAGTATTAAGTAAGACATGGTTTCGTCACCCTGCTCAGAAGAGACACCCATCGATTTACTTATGAAGATTTCGTGCATATTTAATGTGGTGTTACACACTATTTCTGTATAAGTTCAGAAAACCGGTAAAAAAGACTATCAACGTCTATTGTTACTCACATAATTTTTCTCTGATACCTTACACAATAATATGTCACTTCAGTACAAAACAATGCTACCTATAGTCCAAATAACCTTTTATGGCTAAATACAAACAATTTATATAATATTCATAGTTACTTTAACGCTTACTTCTTTCTAATTACATTTTATAAACGACTACCAACATCTGTGTTTGCCGTCACCATAATAAAGGAGGTGAACCATATATAATTCTTTTTACGGCTTATTTTCATGAAAACTCAATCTATAATCTATTTTTGACTAGAAAAATGGTGATTTGACTTCTTTGACTTAGTATTGTTAAAAAATAACCATATTACGCCAGCTACATATTTACTTAGGTGGTGAGCACGAAATACGTCAAACTGCTTATAAATTGAAACAAAAACTATCTTCCAATCACAAAGATTACGAAAAGTCATGTATGACGGAAAAAAGGCTGTTAATAGCTGATAAATAAGGACACATAAAATCCACGACAATACGTTACACGTGCGCGAAAACCCGTAAACTAACAAGCATACTGTGCCCTTCTGACGTTTGGAACAAACTTGATGTATGCGCCCTCTCAAGGTCATAGTTTACAGCAAGCACTCTACGATTTCACTTTATAACAACTATAAACTTAATAAGTTGGGAAACATTTTGTGAACCAACAAATGTTGTAATTTATAGATCATGCCTGTAAAAATGGTGTGTACCTGCACATGCAGAAATATATTATTATATTATATTAACTGATCAGCTAGTATCTAAAACCCAGTATGTTTTAGCAGCGCATTCCTGAATGGCTGATATGTTAGCTTTCCATACATTTGGGCGGGGTGTAACATGATCGTATAACAGGTCCCTAGTTCTAAAAATGAATGACAAAACAGCGTGATCGCTGTCCACTAATAGCGGAAGAATATTTGGGTAGACAATATCCTCAGTATCATGAGGGATTACCAAGTCCAACAGAAAGGAACCTTGGATAGCACCAAAACCATTTGGGTTTGGATACATGCTGCACTAGTGCATGCTTCATTATTGTTACCAGGACCTTACTATCAAAGGAGTTTATAGATGCTCCCGCGGTCATCTCAGTCTAACTAATATCAGGCGCAATAAAGTCTCCTATTATCAAACATCTGGTATTTGCACTCCAACGATGAATGTGCTCTAAAATAAAGTCATCAGCTAAGCAGATCAGGCTGCGAATGATGACACCCAGCATAAATGTACTACATCTGATAGTCAATTTACAGCTAATGATTTCACAAGTACCGCTATCATGAGATTCGCTAGCAGAGGAGCGGATATTTATATTATTGGCCATATATAACAGGACGCCAACTCCTTTTCTACATTTATGTCTATCACTCCTGAGATAATGGTATCCGAATAATTCTGAAGTAATGTCTAAGTCATCGATTAACCAAGTTTCTGCCACTGCTACTATCAGTGGCTTTAACCTGTCCACTAGTGCTTCTAGTTCATAGGACTTATTTCGTAGACAGGCCTTGGTAGCATTCGCTTCCAAGACCTGACTATCCGAAAACCCACTAGTCAGAGATTTTCCTCGCCGTTTTGCCGACGGGTTTCAAGTTCAGCTAGTGCTTTCTTCCTTTTTATTCTATCTTTGAGAGATATATCAGGTCTAACTCGGATGTCAGAATTGTCGTGACAACGAGTGCTACTTAACAAGAGATCCCGTTGCTTCTCCGATTCTAGAATGACCTTGAGGAGTTTGCATGGACGGGGTTCATCATTGTCCTCGGTCCTCTTGCCTATTCTTACCAACTTTTAACCTGAACTCCTTTGGAGTTATCTGGTAAAATACTACGAATGAATTCTTCTAGCTTTTCTGAGTCATGCGCGTGTCTAATTTTTGGATAAGGGTCATTTGACTCCCGCAATTTACTCACAATAATATTCGATGGAATTAGATTCTTCTACTCACTCACGCCAGGGTGTGTTTCCCTCCTACTATCAGATTTTGGTAGTGCATTTTGTGACTCACAACGGAAATCCTCCAGCGACTTGCTAACCACCTGCGTAATGCCTACAGCATTTTTTTAAAAACTTTTCTCCGTACTGTAGTCCTTTTCTCATCCCACATCTTCAGTTTTCACTAGAGGTGCATGATTACCGATGTCAATGTCAGGTGGTACTACCCCCTCGTTAAAGTTAACGGAGATTTCACTTTACGATCAATCAAAGTCGGTTGTTTAAGGCGTCTCGTAACATCAGGTACTACACTGACACATTCTTCACTGTCAGTGCTCGTGTTATCAGTGCATGCGCCATCGTTCTTCTTACAGGCTAGGGCCAATAGGCTCATAGCCTCCTGTACAAGCAACGTCTTATTTGCACAGCAAAACATGCAGAGCCAGTATGAGTTAGGCTTCGAATATCTTTTGTATGCAGTGGGACTTAAACGAGTGCATATTTTATGGAACCACTTTTTGCACTTATCACACTGCATTCCTTCCTCCACAGGGAACAAACAGTTCGGTTGTCCACATTTGTGAGTACTACCAACCATTCTAGTTAGATTAAGGTGTAAAACACATTATGATCACAGTATGAACAGTGTCAGTCAACGAGTACTACAGCGGGTACTACAAGACACACTTTGGCAAGATTCAAACCTTAACTAAAGTACTTTCATTTAAACCAAGAATGCTTTTGATGAAATAACTACACAAAAGCAAGGGTAATCGCAATAAGTACAAAATCACTGCCCTTTTTGAAACATCGACGACAAACTAATATGGAAGCAGAAACAATACTGCAATCGAATACTTCAGCCGAAATAAATTCAATTAAAGTGAAAACAGTAGTCTTGATACGTAATAACGATCAAAACAATAGAATTTACTCAACGAGGAAAAATACCACTGTCCTTTTAATTACGCGCGCGTTCACAGGGAATTTTGAACTAGACGTAATAACTGAGCGGCTATAAGAAATCAAAAAGGGCGAGACTATAATTTGTGGACGAGTCAATCAGGTATGAAATAATAGATCTCGGGTTTTAACAAGAAAGCCTATCATCCATTTGTCTAAATAAATTTCTGGCATTATAGCTTATGTCAGTTCTTGATTAAAACCCCATATATAATTATTAATTAAGGCAAATTAAGACAAATATTGCTTAATGGATGATAAAAGCACCCGTAACACGGGATGCGGCCAGGTACTACAATATATACGGATGATTGGAGAGCGTACAGACTCCCACATAGGCTTGGTTGTGTGCATCGTGTCGTTGTCCACAAGTAGCATTCTATGCACTCAACAATCGGAGTGCACATGGACAATATTGAAGCCATCTGATCGATGCTGAAAGAGTTTTTGAGACTTTATCATGGCTCCAGAGGTCGAATATTCTGTAGACATATGGATGATTTCCTCTACTGCATGCATTACGATTTTACGACCTCTGAACCTCTTTCTAACCTTGGAAAGGTTTTGAGCCACGTATAAGAAGTGTATCCACTTTATTTCTTTGATTGTGTAGAGCATATTTTTACTGTATACTGACTGGCTGATATTTCTCAAGGTCACTTAAGATTTCCTAGGGTCTCGCCGCGGATTCGCTAAAAACGAAGCCGACTCAAGATCCTATAAAATCGAAAAAAGGGCTCCAAAAGGTTCGACAAAAATAGGAGAGCCATTTATGTATCAGAATACTGTTTTCAGTACTATATTTTATAACTACACGCATTATCTAAACTTGGGCTAGACCCTTTATGGAGGAGGAGACTCAAACTAAATCTTATCTTTTTCTTCAAACTACTTCATAAACTATCGTATACATCCGATCACGCGATTCAATATGCAGAAACCTCTCATTATAACATACGTAATTCCTTGGCACTAGTGAAACAAACTCATTCTAAATAATCTCTTTATATGAATTACTTCACCTGTAAATTCTCTAGACTCTGGAATAACCTACCACAACCTATCCGCACGATAAAATCACTCCCATTATTTGTTCGCTGCATCGATGCATACTGTTCTTCTGAAAATGCATTGAATGGTCTAGCGCCTTTAAGTGTATCTCATTCCACAAGTGATATTTTAGGAACCTTAAATGTTTAGCCATCTTTATTAGTGAATCCCCTTAGTAAAACCACCCACTTGCTGTCAATATGTCAACACTGTCCATAGCAACTTTAACTAATATGAATAACACAAACAGTATATCACTGTGTCACATGACACACGCATTTAGGTGGACCTGATTAATATATTTTGGTAATTACCGCTTTGTTGTTCGTGCTCCCTGTTTTCGTTTTAATTTCTCTAGTTGTAGATAATTATCATTATCTCGATCTGGCACACGAATTGACCTTAATTACACCGTTCATAAATCAACAGGCTGTCGATTTAAGAAATATTAAAAATTCCCGGATAATGCTTTGGATCGCTGTAATATATGTACTACTTAAACAACTAGTGAACTAGTATACTTGAAACTTTCTTTTATCACATGTTTGTTCTCTGCACGTTTAACGTTATTACTTATATCAAATTGATCATGCCTGTAAACTGGCTTGAATTCTGTAATTATTATTTTTCAGAATATAAATTAATTATTAATTATAGTGGTACTGTTTCTCGTTGAGTTAATCATGTAGTTCACCAACGTAGATGATCTATGTCGAAATGATTGGACGCCTACTCGAGTTAGACGTGAATGGCGTGACAAACTAGGTAATGTCGAAGTCACACCTCATGGTCAGCACCTTACGTGGACTAGCCCATTGACGTATCAAGATACCATAGATGTTTTGAAGACTGTAAAACACAGAGGGCGTTATTACAGAAATATATTAGTTAAGGTAGATACAAGCGAAAAAAAGACCACTGCCGCATGGGCCAGTCCATGGCAGACGATTAACTGATGCGCGTTGGTCGCCCCTGACCTTGACGAGGATCGATGATTTGCTCGATATTCAATGACCTAACTGCCGGATGATTTGGCTAGGGCTTAGTGACATTTCGCTGGCCCTACAATCAACTGTTTTGATCGCAAATTACGCATCAAAACTATTGTTTACACCTTAATTGAATCTACTCTAGTTAACGTGATAGTGTATTGAGTGTTTCGATTTCGCTTTTGTGTATTTATTGCATCGAAGCATACTTGGTTGACTTTTACTTGATTTATTTAGTTAAGGTTTGAGAATTCTTTTACATATACTGTTTGTGTCACCATTGTAGTTGATTTTCAATTTGGCCAGCTCTGTTCATAAATGTGGACAACCATCAAAATTCCTAAATCGATATGGCTTACTGTGCACACTCATGAATGTCAAATACTAATCGAATGCATATATCGAGCTCCTAACACTCCTAGTTCAAACGACACTATTATAAGTGAGTCATTTGCTCAGGCTGACTCGCTTGACTTCACTTACAAAATTGTATGTGGTGATTTCAACCTTCCCACCATCAACTGGAAGACACATTCTGGCCCATTGTGCTTTTGAAGCATACTTAAGTCCTTAGACATACACGGCTGGCAACAACATGTACACCTGCCTACACGAAATCACAACATTCTTGACTTGATATTCTGTCATAATGTCACACCAACATCAATGGTGGTTGGCGAAAAGTTTCACAACAGCGATCATAAAATAGTCCTCTGCACCCTTCCGATTCTTGCCATATGCAACAAATTAAAGACATTAAACATGCGATTACAATATAGAGACTATGCAAACGCTGACTGGGAAATCTTTCTATTTCTAATAAAGCACTCTGACTGGGGAAGTTTCTTTACCAGTAGTAACCGCATAGAAACATTAGTAATATTCAATATCACCATCAAATCTGCACTAGACACTACTATACCCTCTAAAATTGGTTTTAAAACAGTTACTCCGTATACAAACCAAAAGACTAGGTCTGAACTGCGAAAACTGAAAAGGATGTACTATATATCAAAAGACTTCAGTGCCCTGCACCAGATATACTCTGTACTTGACGAGTACAAAGTCAACGGAACAAGCGTAAACAAGTAGAGGAACGTACTGCGCTCGCTGTTGCATCTAAATACCAAGCCAAATGTCTTCACCTCACGAAGCGCATAAGAAAGAACACAGACCACAACATTCCCTCCTTACTGCACGATGGAGTAACGTATAATGACCAAACCGTCATATGTGAACTATTAAGTGAATGGTTTTCTCACAATGGGAATACATCTGATGCTTCAGACATCGACATAAAGTGCACCGGCAAAAACTATCTTAGTACCATAAACTTCGACTTTAGGAGTATACATACCGCCATTAAAACCCTTAAGCCAAATGCGAGTTCTGGTGCCGATGACATCCCTTCAATCGTTCACAAAATGTCAGGACCGGACATACAGACGCTATTACTCAAAATATACACATTATCTTTAGAGACAGGTACATATCTGGAAACCTGGAAGGTAACGTATATTCTTCCCCAACACAAATCCGGACCAAGAAACCTGGTCGAGAACTACAGGCCATAAATATTACTCCAGTTATATCACGCATAATGGAAAAAGTGATACAAAATCAACTATCTGATCACCTACTCAAGGAAGATTTAATAGACCAGTCACAACATGGCTTCATTAGAACAAGGTCGTGCAGTACATGCCTGATAGACTTCTTTAACGAGGTTACTCGTATACATGACCAGAAGAAACCAGTTATTATACTATACTACGACATTAAGAAAGCCTTTGATAAAGTACCTCATAATCTTCTAATCAACAGACTTAAGTCAGTTGGAATTATAAATCCCCTTTTGCAATGGATCAAGTCTTTTCTTACGAACAGATATCAAATAACCAAGATTAACTCTAATACATCTACACCACGACCTATAACCAGTGGCGTTGTGCAGGGTAGTGTCTTGGGTCCATTGCTCTTTATAATCTACATCAACAATATATGCAAGTGTTTTAGCACAGGTAAGACCTACCTCTATGCCGATGACTTAAAAGTCATCTATAAAACTGATATTTCTGATTTACGCAGTACTATGGAAACAATTCAACGTGAACTCAACATGGTAAACGACTGGTGCAAACGCTGGAGGTTAGAGCTCAACACAGAGAAATGCGGCTGGTTATGTATAGGAGACACATCTCTCAAAACGAAACTAACACTTAGCAATCACACACTGCCCAGACTGGCATCAGTAACTGACCTAGGGGTACATTACTCACACAGTCTTAATTTCTCTGAACACATCTCAGCCAAAGCATCCAAAATGCGGAAATTGCTTGTCTTCATTCTCCGCAATTTCTATGAAAATGAATCTAAAATCCTTCTTTATAAAGTTTGTGTAAGATCTATCGTTGAATAAAGCTCGTTCTTATTTTCCAACCTACGCCTATCTGATATACTAAAGGTGGAAGGAATACAACGAGATTTCACCCGCAAAGTACTTAAGACTGCCTCGGTCATTGACTACAGTTCCCGATGACAAATCTTAGGAATAGCACCCCTTTGGAAGAGAAGGCTTAGGTCTAATTTGATTCTCTACTTCAAACTACTCAAAAACCTTACTTATTCAACATGTAAGATAATTCTTGCCCGAGATTCACATGAATACGGACTTCGAAACAAAGTATCTACGGTCAAAGTTGAGAAATACAGATCAAAAACTCGGGAAAACTTCTTCCTCACCAAGTATGCAATAATATGGAACAGTCTTCCCTCCAAAACTCGCATGGCAGATGAATTACATACGTTTGTAAAACTGCTTGATCAAGCCCTCACCTGCACTGATCTTGCACGTACGAACACATCTGCGCCCCACTCATACATCATAGGCTCTCTCCATGTCTAGACCAAAATGGACTTCAAGTTCAGTATGCCTTATTTTTCCTACTTTGCAGTTGTATTAATTAATTTTTCCACCCCATTTCTTCACTTGAAGTAGACAGGTAACTCAATGGACCTATCATTACTGTTAAGATAAACTCGGTCGATAAGGGACACTCACTACCACCCTAAAACGTCAAGAGGACCGCACAATCGGCTGCCTACTACCAGTGGTCTTGCATCTATGGAGCCTGTTACCAATCAACTGGTTAGTACAACAGAAAATAACATCAGCACCAAGTTGCTGTGAGTTCCTTCCTGTTTACCCTGTATTCACTTTTTACTCTTCAGTACATTATGTTGACTAGCAATTAATTTTGTTTCTCTACTCGTTCACTTATCCACAACTCATATACTTCTATACTTTTTCCACAACTATTCTAAAATATACCCTTCTTAACGCTTATACTCTGATTGGCAAACTATACTTTATACTATAGTAAACAGAGGCACTGCATCGATGCTTTACCCACAGTCCATAGCTTGTAACTGCCTGATAAGCTTGTTAAATGGTACTTATAGAAATAGTGCTTTCCAACAGTTTGTGAAACAGAGGATTGTGTGAGGTATGACGTATATACAAAAATAATGCTAAATGAGCCTAACATCACAAAAGGAGGGAGGGTGGAGTTACTGACCAGCAAGAATTGATGGTGAGGGCGATAACTTCAATCCACCCGTGTTTGTGGGGACAGGACATTTTGTATGTATCAGGCACCTCATGATTGAGAATAAGTCAATCAATCTGTGATATAGATTGTTTTCCTACGCTCACCACTCAAACTCATGTTTCCAATATTATGCTGGATCAGCTATTCTACTAAGACAACCTACAACATGCTAACTCGAACTTTTACACTAGAATTGTGTGGCTGGCATCGGACAAACAAAAAAAGGAAAAAAAGTTAGACAATAAAAGATGTAGTCATTAATATTTTCAACACTTCACCCTCTATATACACACCCTTCTAATAAAACGGCTTTCCTTGCACCAGCCTTGACTTCCTTCCCTTCGTGTAAGCTTACTCCAACTTGTTAAACATCACAACTCATTGTTCTTTATTAGTACATTCTCTAATATGGAGCCTCTGACTTCATTTCACTAACAAGACATAACATGAATTTATTCTAATTTATTATACCTCTGTCCGTTCTACTATACTATGTTAAGCAACGTTTGGCGTTCATATCCAAGTGCCTTGCCGCTCTTCTGTTTCTCTTTTCTTCTTCTTCAGAATCTTGCTCTGAGAGCACAGCTATGAAACTTCTGACGTTTGGAACAAACTTGATGTATGCGCCCTCTCAAGGTCATAGTTTACAGCAAGCACTCTACAATTTCAATTTATAATAACTATGAACTTAATAATTTGGGAAACATTTTGTGAACCAACAAATGTTGTAATTTATAGATCATGCCTGTAAAAATGGTGTGTACCTGCACATGCAGAAATATATTATTATTATTATTATATTGCTTATTCCCTGTGGAGTATGGGATGCGATGTGATGAGTGTAATAAGTGGTTCTATAAGATGTGCACCTGATTAAGTCTCACTGCATATAGAAGGTACTCAAGGCTCAACTCTCATTGGCTTTGTGGTTTTTGTTGCTCGAGCAAAACATTACTCATCCAGGAAGCAATTGGCCTCCTGGTATTGGCTAATAAGAAGGTTGATGAGGACTTTACTGGTATTATTGGTACCGGTGGTGAAGATTGCGTTAGTA